GGTACGGTGGTAGTAGCATCCGCCGATGTGGGCATTCCAATAGGGGTTCCACTACCGAAGAAAAATATGATGAGCCTATATGATCTAGAGTCACTGAAGGCAGATTATGCGATACCCGATGGGGTTGAGGTTGCCCATACCTACCGAAGCGGCTAGATACCCCCCTGAGGTTGAGTTATGGTGTTCTCAGCCATGTACAAACATGGATTGAGGTTACCATTGCATCATTGGGTGCAAATGATGCTTTCCAGACTGGGCTATGCCCCTGGGCAGTATAATCCCAATTTCTGGTGTATACTGCACGGGGTGTACATAGCATGGTGGTTGGCGAAACGAGGGGAGCCCACCTTCGAGCAGTTCATGCATCTGTACTCAGTGTCCAGGCAACAGGGCAATTTTGGCTGGGTGCAGGTCAACTGCCGAAAGGCGAAGGAGAGGGGATACTTTATAGGGCAACCACCATCGTCGCAGAAGACGTGGCGAAATCGATGGTTCTTTGCCTTTGGTGATTGGGAGTGCTGGCCTGGGACGACTGTCAGCAAACATGTGCCTACCCATTTTCAATCTATAGGTCTTTGGTTATCACTCATGTCTTTGTGTTTGAATGTGTTGGTATGAATATGTATTGTTGTCTGAAGCTTGTGAGAACTAACGCCTTTGTCCATGTGCAGGTTCTGTGAAGTGTAGGCCAATGTCCAGGGAGGAAGAGGAAGAGATAGAGCTGGTGAGGAGACAGGTGACCCAGGAGGCACGTAAGCTGAAGAATATTGTGACCCCAACCCTTCTTCTACAGTCGGGGTTGCTTCAAGGAAGTAAGTATTGGCCCACTCCCTTTTATATGTTTATTTTTGTATATCTGCTCACCTTTGCTTCGGTTTTGTTTTTGCAGTGGCTGAGGTGCCGAAGAAGGTGGTGACCATGGTTGAGTCGTCATCGAAGGTGGTGGTGGATCCGGAGGAGAGGCAACGAAAGTTGCAAGAGATGAGAGAGAAAGATAGGGCCAATAGGGCCAAGAAGCAGGCAAAGGGGGCGCCCAGTACCGCCGAGGGGACAGCCCCGGGCTGCTGGGAAGCGGCCTCGGACGGAGGACGATGCGCTGTGGG